TTGAGACTCGGTTAATTTTAATTCCTCTCTCATTTTTAATCCGGCTCACCTGCAGCGCATAAACGCACCTTATAAGCGAATGTCCTAGATGAAAAGCGTTCGAATTTTTCGACCGACTCGTAGATAAATCACGTGTTTCGGTAGATTTAAATGTAGCTTTGAGGATTTCAGAATTTCAGAAATCGATGACTAGAATGTTTACGCGTGTTCTTTCGTGTGCAGTAAAAACGTAAATAAAATTGTTATAATTGTTTTCTATGATCGTATAATACTTATGATATGTTTTTTATTTGTGTAAATTATTAGAGATGAAAATAACAAAATAAATAATAATTTCGGAAAAGGTAGTTATAATATAATTACAAAAAGACTCAACAGAGTCAACATTAAATAAGGAAACCTGGACGTCATTATTCTAATGGTTGGCGACTCTATACTATAATTTATTTTTTGATAAGAAGTATAAAACACATTAGTAGATCTTTCATGATTTCCAATATTTTCCTGTTTAACAAGACGGAAATTCGGTATTATGTATTTAATGAATAAATATCGAGACACTGTTATAATCTACAAAACAGACCTATATTGCTTATATGTCTTATGTAAGCTTCCACACCGGAACCGAATAAAAATGGAAAAAAATTGTATTTCATTCATTGCGATATAAAATATAATATTGTTATTGGAGCAGACTGGACGACATGTCTATTATACTACTCTAACACGTGTCATTATGGCGAAACGCAATCTCGCAGCAAAAACAAGATATGAATTACTCGTTTTTCACCGTATCCTGTACGGTCGACCACCCAAATATTATTTATTTGTTATGTATATGTGCATATAACTACAATGCCACTAAATCGATTGCATACCATATTGTCTTAATATTGACAAGAAAATACCAACGGATCTCTAAAATTGTAGCAAGTCGTGGTTCGGTGGGAATTTACGTGGGCCAAATCGCGACACTTATCAAAAAAGAATTAAAATAATGATATTATGACGTTATGTGTGATGTAATTTTCCAAAATTTAATATAATAGAATTTAATAAAACCGACTTGTATTTGTCGAGACATTCCACAAAATAAATCATATTTTTTACATTTTGTTCTTAAACGGTGTGGCAGCAATAGGATGTCTAATGCGTGTTTCAGAAAAATATTAAAATAACAAAAAAAAAAAAAAAAACTGTCAACATAATACGACATAATACGACTCTAACAAAAAACAAATAAAATTTTTTTTTTAAATCAAAATATATTTTATTCAGTTGTTAGTACGTGGTTTAATTTCCGCCGCGATTCTATGGAGGTCAATGCAAATGCATTTTACTACATTAACTATTTTATTTTACTATCAATCGCATTTTATTATTAATATTACATTGACTCAATTATTTTTTATCTATTTATTTTTTATTTCCACATCGTAAAAGAATGACTGGTTTTTTTCCATCCAAGTAACGTGAGAAATATTAGTCAATTAAATAGGTTACGGTTTTATTTGTTTTACATTTTGTGCGAATAACCTAATATGACGTAGTATTGATTAAAAAATAATAATAATTTAGAGACCTTGAGCTTATTATACTCTGAAATTGGACAGAGTAAATTTTTCGAGTTTCGAGCTTAACAACTCAGGGAATACAATATCTACTGCTGTAACATTTTGAAAAACTCGAAGAAAAACCTATTCTAGATTTTGTAATTCAGATAATAATATCTGGTGAGATATGTAATAAAATGGTCCACAATTGCTTAAATTAATCACTTCAAATGACGTAATATAATTTTTTTTTTTTTAAACAAAAAAAATACATTTTCTCATTATACTTTCTTATTATAAAAATAATTTTATTGAAATTTACAATCCATACATACATTCTACAATATGTAAATGTTTTAATAAGATATTTACAACTTCAAGATTAAACCAATATGATGCACAGTTGCGAAACCTGAAATTACTCGATTTTATCTGGTTTATTAACTCAAACAGTTCCTTGACCAATTCCGTTTCAGACATCTGTTACTGGTAGGATGACACCGAATCTAAAAAAATAAATAAAAATATTATGCGTTTGATAAGACTTACAATTTTAATTCTTGAAAAAACAGCTCGCGTCCTGCAAATATAATTCAATGCTATAAGCCTAATCGGCTCTTCAGAAAGTCATCGCACGTGTCAAATGTAACAGATTATCGTTTTGCATAAACAGCAGTATGTAACGGTCATTGTCGGTTCCACCGTCAAAAGTATTATATAGTAATCACAAGCAGTAGCAAAGCTGCATAGTCTTGGTGCAGTGAGTAAAATAGGCCTTCTAACTAATATTATTTTTATGTTAAAATTAAAAAGTATAAACATTAAATTGTTTTTTAAATGTTAATACTTATTATGAAAAGATAAATGAAAATAATTAACAAATAGTTAACTGATATACAAAGTAAAATGTGTACAATTTTCAAAGTATGATTTGGAAATATTTAATGTTAAATACATTGATATTGTCAATTATTTTAAGGAAGTATAGTCGAATAGTTTCAGAAATGTCCAAAGCCCCTTGTTCTTTGGGGTTTCGATGCACTGCCCCATTTTTCTCTATGATATCTACGCCACTGATCGCAAGCTTACCAGAAACGACAAGGCCGAATGATGTAGAAGGTTTGCCTGTGAACATTTATAGAACAAACGGTGATCAGGGGTTTATTTTCCTTTTAGCATTACCACCTTTGTCTTAGCAGATACTAATGGAACTAGATTATAATATCATCAATACCCACGGTATCTTGTTCCAGAAGTATTTACTAAGATGGCGCTGGTTTTGATAAAAAGAAAACAACCTGCTATACAGAGTTCCCCCCCCCCCCCGGAATTTCAACAGATTTAGGAAAAAAAAGTATTTTTAAATACAATTTAAGTTTAATATATACATTTTTCAGGGTTATTTTTATAATCCATTGTCAATCTATCAAGTGTTATAAAATGAATTATTACCAAAATCATTATCTTGTGAAATAAATATATTTAAAATACGTGGTGGTAAAAATATTGAACCCCCAACGAAAAAAATGTCTAGGCACGCCCCTGCCACTGTGCATAACCCAACCCATAACAATATTCGTAAACATAATAGTTGTCTCTCGTGTCCGGTCCTGTATATCTTAGTCTGTGAATGCGATAATGATAATAATGTAACACCGCGGTCCGAGTGATAATGGACGAATGCGTGCGCGAAACGTGCGGTAGACGTGTAATATTATAGCAATATCAGCAGTGCGATGTTGGGCGCACAAATGCAGTGATTGTGAGTAGGCTCGTGGGGCAACTCGACTCCCTCGAGCGAATTCCCGAATCGTTCTTTCGGATTCCGAAATCAACACGTTCGTCTACGCACAATCGTCACGGTCGACTGAAACAGTATTCGGTCCAACGCAGTAAATGTTTTCGGTGTAAATCGATTTTCCATCATCATTCGAAGATGGTTCGTGCACGCGTATATATCGGAATCCGGTTATCGGATTCGAATCGGGTCAACTTTTGGACACTGAAAGTATAATATTCCGCCAATACCGAATAGAACAATTGCTTTGGACGCAAGAACGCATATTTTCCGTATGCGATTTGTTGTAGCACTCCGTATCTAAACAGACTTATACGAGAACGTATATGACGTATAATATTAGCGATCAAAAGTTCATTTTTTTTCTTTCCGTTTAACTTTCACCTTGAAACAGTGGTGCTCCTTGATTGATCGATTTTTTTTTATTTTACGAGCTAATTATTGAATTATAATGTACGTTATGCTAAGAGATATTTAAGGTTATAAAAATGAACGGAAGTTTACGGTTCTAAAATGAATACTGTATTTATTTTTGTCATGGTCATTCGTCTACAGAATACGGCTGTATAAATATTTTAGGAACACAAGAGAATGTTCCGTCATAAAACTAACATTTGTTATATCGACCATTACTATAATATCATAATATTTCAAAATAAAATGAAGAATGTGCCAAGTCAGCTTATTCTTTTTTTATTTTAAAATATTTCATTGTATTTATAGCTTATTCTTTTTCAGTTACAGATTGCAATAAAATTATTTGTCTGTTCTTATAAATTTCAAATCATAATACACATAAATAATTAATACATACATACAATTATATAACTTTTGATGTCATATATCAATCATCCGGATTTTTGCTTATCCGGACCACTCTTGACATTGTCTGAATAATCGGAGTTCTACTGTAGATCGAAATTCCGTTATCACAGTTCGTTATTTTTATACATTGGTCTGAAATGTGAAAATTGAATGTTTGAATCTTATACTGAGTAGAGTTTTTATATCAGTTTGATGTACTTGTTAAATCGTTATTTTCTATAATTACCACACCGTGAATCCCTAAAGGAGAATGGCTCTGTGCCCTCATCACTACTCATCCACTGCAGGTTAGGCTATCACGTTCTAAAAGTAAATGTCATTTATTCGACACTATTATTAATAATTTAGTGTTGTAGGTAAAAACGTAGTAAAAAAAAACAATTATGAATGGATTCAAATTTCGATTTACTTCAATTTGGTAAATTTTGAAAGTTGAAAAAACATTTCGCACAAAAATTGTTTGAAAAAAAAATGTATTCGAAGAAAAAAAAAATTTAGCGTTAACTAGTAAACTATGAAATAAGTTAAATAAGCGTACTATTATTTTTTCGATACCGTAATACAATGTTACTTTATTAATCTAATTTTTATAAAATTTAACACATTTTTCCCAAAACCACAGTTTACCATACATATACCCTGTTCGTACACACATACATATATATATATATATAAATGTATATGTATGAGTGCGCCTTCCCCGCCCGTGAAAATATTTTCGGATCCCTCCCGCGCCCACCACCAAACACACGGGCGTGGAAGAAGGGACCCCTGTACGATAACGGTATGAAAGTCTAACGGGTGACGTGACGTCGTTGTTTCAGGTGCTGTACTTGTTGCGGAAGATGAGCAGGAAGACCGTGTACGCGGCCCCGTCGCTGCGGTCCGTGTTGGTCACGTCGTGCGAGACGTGCGTGGGGCTGCAGCTGTGCGACAGGCTCGCGGCCGCCGGGTTCCGCGTGTTCGCCGGCCACAAGCCGGACGCGGCGGCCGAGGCGGCGTCCGACTGCGGCCCGTCGTCCGGCCGGTCGTCCGAGGCCTGCGCGCTGCTCCGGTACCGCGTCAAGCAGCGCGAGTCGGCCGCCACCGACGTGGAACGCGCGCCCGGCGGCGTGGTGTTCGTGCCGCTGGACGTGACGCGCGAGGACTCGCTGCACGAGGCCGTGGTCACCGTCAAGAGGCATCTGCCAGCCGGCGAAGACGGTCAGTAGCCTGCGCGCGTCATATCCGTTCGCTTACGCGCTTGGTGTACGAGCACGCGCGTGCGTTTCGCCGCAAGGGACGTTGCCAATCGAACGACAGTTGTTATATTCGTATAAGGATCGCGTAGGAATCCTCGAATAAAACTTCGAGATTTACATTCAAAAACTCCGAATGCGTCCTCGGACCTGATCGAAAAATTCGGGATTTTTAAATCGTTCAACAGGCGCAAAAATAAACTTTCGTATTTTCGTTGAATGGACTATGTAACGCCAATCGCTCCTGTGACAGCAGTGAAAATCGCTCTGAAATCTTTAGGAAACAGCGAACCTCAGCTCTGTACATGAATGTTGCCCGCCGAGTAAAAAGGAATTAGTCCGTTTTAAGGATTTTTTTTTTTTTTACTTTAATTGTATGTTACTACTAATAATACTTAATACTTAATTACTACTAATACTACTAATAATAGTGATGGTAAAAAAAAAATTTTCTTCAAAGGAATAAATCAATCGCATGATTGGAATCAAGTCAAAATAAACACTTTCCATAAGGGTTAAGTCACTGGATTTATTATAGGTTAGAACATTAATAAAATATTTTAATTTTCAAACATGCAGTGTTTTGAAAATTAATTTAAAAACAACATCTAACATATTGATGAATAATTTTAACTTTTGAATATTGTAGATGTTTTTTTTTTTGTGTTCTCAACAAAAAAGCATTTTTGTACTTATATTCCTTTTTATCCGAGCACTGTCCATATAATTATAGACGTATAAGATATGTTAATTTCAATTTTTGTTGCTTGGGTGTATGCTGCGATGTACATGCACGTCGCCGCCAGTCAGACCCTTAATCGCAATACAATGTGTGTCGTGAATCTATAGATTTCATCGCCTTCCTGTACACTCATTCCGACATCACGACTTTCACGAAATGTTTTTTTTTCTCCCGAGTACATAACTCATGTTTTGTTATTTTGAAAGATATCTGCTAAAACTAAAAAATCACTAAAAAAATAACCGGTCGATCGGTTTTTCAGTGCTATTTTACCCACGATGTCGAGTTTGACACTATTAATTGCACCTGACGATTTTTAGGTACAGTAACACTGACTAGCATTACTTTTGAGTAGTTCTTAATAGTTTTTCGAAACTATTTTTTTTTTTCTATATAAATATAATATTTTGTGTTCTTGTCTTTATTTTTCATCGTAGAACAATTAAACGATTAGTATTTTACGTTAAATCATACATACTATAGTTTCAAAATAATACGATTTTCGGCATTCAGTCGATCCACCGGAAGCCTTAATGGAAATATCAATAGTACCAAACGGTATTTAAAATAATTTCGAATAAATATCCACTGCTGCTCCTGATGTCTGGTCGCTCGTGTATTATTTATACTATCTAACAAGTATACAGAATATTCTATAACCTTACAGAACCAAATGAATTGGTCGCAGACCTTGGTCTCCTAACTATGTAAGAACTACCCGGCTGTTAGATTGTACATCTTGTTTATATTTAAATTGTTACTGAGACAAAAACCGTCCGAGACATGTCCCTCTTATGCAAATTGCAATTATAACAGCACTACTGCACTGTTTTCAGGCATGTAGGCCATTACATTATTCTTTTTACTGGCGCAGTAAACGATGTGTTTACAATCACTTATTGTTAAAGCAACATAATAATATAATAATGAAAACAAAATTGACGAAAATGGACCTGTTCCCTTTCCGCCGTCAGCGAATCAAACACTAGTTCCACATTTTAAAATTGTATTAATTACGCACGGTGACAAATCGAAGAAATGGCAAAAACGTTTTTTCAAGTTTCACCGATAAAATAGGATATTTATAACACGCACACAACAAATGCGCCCATATTTTTGAGTCATTAGTCCTATATTTTATTCGTTTTAACTTTTTGAAACATTTTATTAAAATAAAATTAAAATAAATATTAAAGTTGTTCTACTACAATGTAACTTCGCGTTTATGAAAACACGTTTGAAAAATAGGTTTTCATACAGTATGTAAAATAAGAAGCTACGGCATATAATTAATACTGATAATTTATTATGAAATATTATTTTTACCAATAAAAACGTCATATTCCCGACTTATACATCAAACTCTTCTTCAAAACGATAATAGTTATAATATTATAGAGTAAAATAAAAAACTAATTATATACGTAAATACACAAAGTCGTATTTACGACTTGAATTCATAATTCGTGTGCAAAAGCGCAGTATTTATAACATACGAATGTAAAAGCCCTAAGCTAAAAAAAGAAAAAAAATCGAATACAGATACATAAGTGAATATAATATACAGTTATATAAATATTTACAATGTATAGACTTTTGCGTATTATTCTCTTACTAGTATATTCAATATTCGTGTTTAGAATCGTAATTGATGTACGACCATGAAACGAAAACATTTTACGACCTATACCTAAACTAGGTGTTGCCTTTGTATTTATTCGAAACGATACTTCATTAACATCTTTTGCGCAGGTTCTTCCCACAGTAATACGCATAATAATAACATATTATACGCAATGTGCATCGTAAGCTATAGAATCTTTTCACTGCCGTTCGAGGACTCGAATACGAATACGTTGAAATTTTGTCGTATTATATTATATGCCTACGTGGCCTAATTTTCTACTTTACGACTCGTGCTATTTATAGACAATTGAAATTTCGCTGTGCCCTCCGAACCGATTGCTATAGTCATCGAATAATACCATGAAAATACCTAGTCAGTATTCTTATGCACAGTGATATTTGTGTGTTCGTATACAAAACTGATGGGTACGCTACAATTACACGAGTAGGCACAGTGGAGGAGTGCAACGAAAAATGAAATTATTTGATGACATCCGAATAGACATTTGAACACGTTTTAATTTTATTTCCCATAAATACATTTGTCGTTTAAGACATGTTAAGACAATTTCAAACGAAGGTATTGATAATATCATACAATTAATAATAAGAATAACAAACTAATAAACCGATATTTCAATACTATATCGATAAAAACAAGTGTAAATTCTATAAATTATTATTTCAATAATATTACATGTAACGTAAAATATCACATCAATAATGTTTAAAATTTTAGGCATTAAGGTAAATACCTTTTAGAGCATCTGTGAAAAATGTTTTAAATTATTATCCATTGCTTAAACTATTGTAGTATTCAAATACTTTCTGAAACCGTGAAATGCAATTACTCTCGTGTTAATAACCTAGGTACTATATGCATGATTTATCAACAAATTTTATGTTACATTTTCTACGTTGTGATAATTAGTTATGAAAAAGAAAGTATTGCACGTATACAGTGTTATGAATACTCATAATTATGTACATTAAATTACATATTATATATGATTGTGCGCGCGCACGCAAAAATAAGCTATGTATGAGTGATTATTATATCACTCGAGAGTGTACGTTGTATATTTTAATCGCACCTTTCAAAACGATAATAACATATAATATATAATACTACTATATAAGTATTGCAATTTTTAATGATTTCAGTTCCGAGACGAAATATTAATTTTAGTCGCCACAGTCCATAACATAATATTTAAAATTAAAACGTTTGAAATTCTTCAAATAATATGAATACAGTACAAATATAAAAAATATAAAATACAAGTCCTTTTCTAGAGTATTATTGAACAATATATGTTATGTCTAAAAATGTACGACAGGTTTCAATTTCGAAAATTATAGACAGTTCTATCATATTATAAACTTGCTGTCATTTTATTTCTTGTTTACTATTTACACACACTTTTTCTTGTAATTACGCTATGTGTAGGGAACGGTGGTCTGCGGTAACAATACGTATTATTATTATTCGACGAAGTCAAATTGTTTTAAATAGTTTTAATCCATTGCTTGGAGCACTAGGCCACAAACTGTATTAGTATTAGTAGTATCTCGAAACGTGCAATATGATGAAAATATTGTGTATTTATCGAATGACGTGATTATTATTTTCGACAGGATTCTGTACTCGTACTTTGAATTTCTGAGTACATGGGAACTTTGGCTGTACACACAATTTAACTACACGCTTTTGAACACAATTATACGTGCATGGTACTATATTATAATAATGTGCATATCTGATCAACGTGTATTTTATTTGTTAGGCGAGTAAAGAAGAAAAAAAAACGTTGCAAGTGTGTAGTTATTTTTTTTACGCATCTGTATAATTTTATAACGAAATGATGTTTGTCGGTAATACGACAAAAACTCATACCTACTTGTTCGCGGTTATCCCAGACGTGTATGCGCTTGTACGTGACTGCGACGATTATAGTGACTACCGACCATAACCTACATCGGATGTACATAAAACAAACCCAATTTCGTATCCGTGAAGTGAGAGTTAATCGCGTGATTATTATTTTCATCGTCAACAGAGTGTCGAACGCGCCTTAAATTTTAAACTCGAAAATACACGACGACATTCGTTTCGGACACGTAGTGCATTGTTCGTCTCGGGCGTGTGTTGTACACTAGGTGTCTAAAGTTCGTAGTCGTCTTTTCAGCCGACGGAACTATGCGTATTATTACAAGGATTACACGCGTAGTAACCGTCGCACATTTCTCGTCGGCTCAAAAGATTTAATAATAACATTAAACCGCACGTAAGTGTTAATCGTGCGAAAATTCACAACATGAAATGTGACGTCTATAAACGCGTACCAAATAATACGTGTATGATTAGTACCCAGTTATGCGCCGGCGTACACACACGCAAAAAAGGTAGTCGCTTTGAATTGGACTACATGACGTACAACGACTGCACGATATGGAATAAAATTATAAAATTTCATATAAATCATATTGAAGACAAGATCGAAACAGCAGGATATTGAACTGAAGCGAGGACGTCTTGACGACGAATTCAAATAATTCCTTAAACTCCTGTTCGCATCACTAGATCGATGGAGAAG